GTGTGTGTGTGTGTGTGTGTGTGTGTGTGTGTGTGTGTGTGTGTGTGTTTGATGTGTGTGCAGGTACCCATAAAGGCCAGAAGAAGATGATACACCCATAGGTTACATGCAGCTGTGAGCCACTTGCTGGGCAATAAACTTGGATCCTCCATTAGAGAAGATCACACTCTTGAAGACAAGTCCACCTCTACTGAAGATGGTTCTTTTTTTTTTTTCTTTAACGCTTCACGAATTTACGTGTCATCCTTGCCCTGGGCCATGTTAACCTTCTCTGTATCATTCCAATTTTAGTATACATGCTGCTGAATCGAGCACCTGAAGATGGTTCTTTATATCCAATTCATCCTGAGTTATTTTTAAAACCTAATCCAGCAGTGTGTTCCATCAGAACATTCTTTTTTTTAAAAAAAAAAGATTATTTTTTTATAATGTCTTATTATGTAGCTCTGGCTAGCCTGAAACTTGCTGTATAGACCACGCTGGCCTTGAAGTGATAAGAGATACATCTGCCTAAGCCTTTTGAGTGCTGGAATTAGAGGCATATGCCACAACATACATAGTTTTTCTTGTTTATTTATTTTTGAGATTTTTGTTTTGTTTTGTTTTTGAGACAAGGTTTCTCTGAGTAGCCCTGGCTGTCCTGGAACTCACTCTATAGACCAAGCTTTCCTCGAACTCACAAAGATCCCCCTACCTTTGACTCCCCAGTGCTGGGATCAAAGGCATGCACCACCACAGTCCAGCTTCATGTATACATTTTAATAGAGTATCTTTTGTTCATTTTTGGAAAGCTCATACATGCATACGATGTCTCTTGATCATATCTTTCACAAAATCCCTCCTTCCACTACCACTAGACAGGCCTAAACACCCTTCCACAGTGCTTCCTGAGTCTTGGTCAAGTACTTACAGATGTCCAGTTTAAGGCTAAGCACTCAACATTACTTATTCTCAGCACTTCAACCAGTTATGCATCTCTACATTAACTGCTGACCACTGCAAAGAGAAATTTCTCTACTATATAGTTACATTTCCAATGCTGATCTTTATTTTTATAAAATATTGTTGTTTGAACATATTAACTTATTGCTCTATTGTAGATTCTTGACATTTTCTACTAAAGCAATTGTGTTATCTCACTACCTGAACATATTTTCCTTTCTGATATTTTTTGGTCTTTTGTTCTTTTTATATGTCTTATTGCATAGATGAGAATTTTCTATAGAGATTGGAGGAAGCCCTGAGTGAATTAGGTCCTGAGTGAATGTTTGCTGTTGGCATGGGCACAGTCATTTCAAGCACCCCATTGTCTAGGGCTCAGAGGGATGGTAAAGTCTTCCTTGAGGGGCCATGGGCTAGTGTTGACTGTGTGTGCAGGAAATGTCCACTATAGTTTCTCTTACCTGTAAATATCTTCAGGATATTTACAGCCTGAAGACTGCTCTCCTATAGAGACTGCCCCTATGTAAATTAGTTAAACCTCTGTCCTTGGTGGAACTATATACTATAAACTATGTCTCCTTGCTTATCTGTATATAACAGTCCCACCTCCTTGTTCAGTAGTGTTCGATGACCTCATATTTCTGTTAAACTTTACATAGTAAGCATGACGAGCTTCCAAAGTACTGCCCTTTCTCCATCAGAGTCTATCACCCAATCCCAGATTTTCTGTATAGACATGTGTCCAGCTGTCTGTCTTTTCTTCATTCCCTCACTACCACCCCAGGCAGGTCTATCTCTGGAGTCATGCAAAGAACATGGTAACTTTCTACACCATTTTTGGTTGTGATCTCATAGGGAAAGCATTCAGGATGACGAGATGGTCTAGTCAGTAAATCATTTCCCTTGTAAGCATCAGGACCAGAGTTCAATTAAAACCTACATTAAAAAGCCATGTGTGGTGGTATGTTTATAATTTCAGCATGGGGAAGCAGAAACTATCACTGGAGCTCTGTGACCAGCGAGTCTAGCTTAATTGGTGCGATTTCCCTCCATGACAGATACAGTTTCTAAGGGGAGCTGGTGTTCTGAGAATGATACCTAAGGTTATTCTTTGGCCTTCACATATACCTGTGTGGGCGTGTGCGCGCGCGCACACACACACACACACACACACACACACACACACACACATAAAACAAGCATCCAGTATTTTACCATTCAGTATGATATTAGCTGTAGATTTTTTTGTGAATGCATCTTAACAACTTGAGAAAGTTCTCTCTTCACATTGTTTCATTCAAGTCTGAATTTAAATTTTGTGTTTTCTTTTCCTAGCTTTTCTATCATAGAGGTGCTAACTTTATAACTTCAAAGCGAAAACATTTGGTTATCTCAATGCAAAAAAATCATACTTGATTAAATTTTTCATCTTTCCAAGATAAAATTTCTCAACAAAGCTAGAAATAAAAGCAAACTGCCTCACCATAATGAAGGCTATAGACAAAAACTCAAAGCTAATGTCACCCAAAGATATGACAGGAACAGAAAAACAGTATGTTCACATCCGCCACTTCTATTCTACACAGTAGATGGGGTTTTAGCCAAAATAACAGGCAAGAAAAATAAATAAAAACATCCAAATTATAAATAAAAAAGTAAAAGTATTTCTATCCACAAACGATAGTATATCATACAGAAAATCCTAAAGATCACACACCCTACCCTCAACACCCCCCCCACACCCACTCACCTATGGAACTAATAAATTTACTAATCTTGTAAGATTAAAACACACACACACACACACACAATCACATGTGTTCGTATACACTAAGAATAAGGAATTTGAAAAAAATTGAGAAAACAGTGACTTTGAAGCACTGCTTGGTGGCTCACGACTTCAAGAGCAGGGGCAGGCAGATCTCTGAGTTTGAGGCCAGCTGGGTCTACAGAGCTAGTTCCAGGACAATCGTGGCTACCAAAGTTCGAAAAGCAAACAAAATGAAAAGGAAAGAAAACAATGACTTTATAGAAGCACCAGAAAGAATACTTGTAGGAATAAGCTTAAGCAAGAAGTCAAAGAGCTGTACACTGAAAAGTCCCAAAACTCTATTGGAAGAAATCAAAGACACAAATAAAAAGAAAAAAAACCCAAGTTCATAGATGAAAAGATTTAATACTGTTACAAAGGTAATACCACTCCAAGCAGGCTACAAATTTAATGCAATCCCTATCTAAACCTATTTGTCTCAACACTTCACGTATTTATTTGCCTGGTAGGATATACCATGAAAACCATCTTCTCATTTCTCTCATCTCTTGAAGAATCTTTAAAAAATGAAAGATTTTTTGTTAGTAATTCAGGGTACAGTTCTAGGGTGTGTTTAGACATAAAGAGATCAGCTGAGCTATCAGTCTAGGCTGTATTTTTTTTATTATTTTAAATAACACTCATTTTGGTGCTGCAGCATTGACATTCTGGTTCCGAGACAGATGTCTACAGCCTGTGAGAAGCTGCCTTGTCTCCCTCCACCTGGCAGTGCTACCCTACCCTTGGCTCGGATGCAACTAATAGCTCTGCCTTCTCAATTGCTCACTATGTATTGTCTTGTCATAAAAATGTAGACCGAAAAGAGTTTGGGAAAATCTAACTCCTCCCCTGTAAAGTTCTCAAGCTATTCCAAGAAAATAGAAAAAAGAAGGACACACTGGGATTTTTTTTCTAATTCTTAATTTGTAGATAATGAATTATGACAGTTAATGTATTTGGCCTTTTTCTTGCTCATGTTTGAGCTTTCTCTGGGATCAGGCAGGTATGGTGCAACTTACATTCCTCCTTTTCTTTTCTGGTAGAGATAGGATCTCACTAGAGGGGAACTGCTAGACCCTGTGGTGACCTTATGCTTAGGTTTAGTATCACTATATTATTCTCTTTTTTAAAAGAAAAAAAATCCATTTCACTTGACTCTATTTTGTTTGAGACAGTCTTGGTTTTTTGGTCGAGACTGGCTTTGAACTCTCTATTCTCCTGACTCCACCTATTGAGTTCTGGCATCATAGGTGTGTGTTTCCACATCCAGACTAAACTTTTTTCGGAAGGAGACTGTAGCAGTTCACATTTCCACCAGCAATTCACAAGAGTTTCATTTATGTCTATTGTTATGCTAATTTCACACTGTTTTAATTATTATAACTTGGTAAGAAGTTATGAAGTAAAATTATGAAAACAAGTGTGAATCCTTCATCCTTGCTCTTTAAAATTATTTTAACTCTACAGGGCCCTTTATGAGTCCATATAAATTTTAGATGAATTTTTATTCCTATTTCTACCAAACAAGCATTGGATATTTTTGTTATTGTTTTTTGAGGCAGGGTCTCACTATGTAGCCAAGGCTGGCCTGGACCCTGCTATATAGACCTGGCTTGCCCAAACTTATAGGGATCTACCTGCCTCTGACTCCCAAATGCTGGGCTTAAAGTCGTGTGCCACCTAGCCAGTCATCATTGGATTTTGAAAGAGATTTCATGAAGTGGGATCCTCTGGTATACGATACCAGACCAATAAATAATATGCTCACCACATTTTCATAGGCATCTACATTGGTTATTCTTTTCTTTTCTTTTTTTTTCTTTTGTCAACTTGACATAAACTAAAGTAATCTGAAAAGAGGAAACCTCAACTGAGAAAGCTTCCATCATATCGGCTTGCAGGTAAGCTTGTGGGGGCACTTTCTTGATTGATTATTGATGTGGAAGGGTCCAGTCCACTGTAGGCGGTGTCATCCCTGGGCAGGTGGTCCTGGGATGTGTAAGGAAGCAGGATGACCAAGCCATGCAGAGAAAACCAATAAGCAGTGTTCCTCCATGATGCTTCAGTTTCTGTCTCCGGGTTCCTGCCTTGAGTTCCTACTTGACTTCTCCTGATGATGGAATGTAACCTATAAGCCAAATAAACCCTTTCCTCCCCAAGTAGTTTTTGGTCATGGGGTTTTAGCACAGCAATAGAAAGCAAACCAAGAATAAAGTGAAGATTCTGTTATGCTTTCCACCAATGATGAGGATCATAACACAAGAACATCTACAGGAGTCACAGCAGTAACCATATGACTGAAGTGGCCGAGATAAAGAAAATCTAAAGGCCTAAAATTATGACAAATGGTTCAGACATGTCAAAGAACTAATAATTTATTATCAGAGGCCTTAAATCTGAAACTGAAAAAATTAAAATCCAGACTGGGTGTGGTAGCTCACTCCTATAATCCCAACACTGAAGAATTTGTAGCAGGAAGGTCACCTTGGGACTGTGAATTTCAGGCCAGCCAGGAGTACAATGTGATATCCTTTCTCAAAAAAGCAAAATAGAAACCAGGAAT